AACCACTATCTGTGATGACGATTGATCGCGGGTTTTGTCTTTGAAGCGATTCTCAGTCTCGAAGTCCTCAACGGATCGAAGGCGGCCGCTTCGATACCGGGCAAAACGGATCATCTGTTCTTTGGAGTGTATTCCTTTTCTGACACTTGTTTTTCTTTGCTTCTAATTGGTCAAATCTCATCTAAAATCTCACAAGAGCCGCTCTCTGGTGAGATTTTAGAGAGTCACTCAGAGGTTTTTCCTAAATTCTCTTTCACTATTTTCCGTTTTTTCCTTTTCTTTAAATTGATAAAATCCTTCAGTTGTCGTCAAGAAACCATGGATATGACCCTTGAACAGGCTATCATCAGCAAGACTGCTCGAATGAATGAGGACAAGCAAAATTGTCTGAAGTCGAAAGCTCGTGAAGCGTTCAAAAGTACTTTGAGAGGTCAGTTGCTGACTCATTGATTAGAAGCAATACAGTAGTTAATCAATATCCCACTGCTTTGTCAACGACAGCGTTGGTAACATCGGGGGTATAAAAAGGACTCTTTGTACAAGTTTGGGAGAAAGGTCGCTATAGAGTTACCGTGCAAGGAGTCGGGTTCCAGCCGAGAGCTCCTTCCCCTTCAGAGGCAGTTGGCAAGATGACGGGGAGCGGGTGGTTGTCGCCAGTTTCATTGGTGGAGGGGTTGGAGAGGGAGTGGGCAAACGCTCCCTCGCTGCCCTTCTACCAGTGGCGTTGGCAACAACCGCCCGCCTCCAGCAATCGTGCTCACAACCTCTGGGGCCTATGTAAAAGTCCTTGTCTCCATTGCATCATTTCTAGTTTCACACGAGAAGTCCTGTAAATGCCTTTCCAAGATAGTTAGCGCTTCAAATACCGTTCATATTTAAGGGCTCTTCGGCCATGGAAGTCGAGAAACAATGCAAAAATTGAAACGAGGTGAACTAAACCTTGATCTACAACGAGGAGCCCAAGTCTTGGCAAGGCTTAGGTGACACTATGGCCATCACCACCAATTTTTGATATCATGAAAATTACCAAATGGCCTTATACACATGCACATTTCTATGTAATTCATGTGGCATTACCTTATTCTTTCAATTCAGCAATCACATTGAAGAAATGAATTGAAGGACTTGAAACACCGTCTGTATTGTTTCTGTATATCCTGCTTGTCATTCTGTGTTCTACAGGTATTTCGAATTCTATGACCTTTCACTTGTCGTCTTCATTCCGAGTGCCTTTCCTTGTGCTGTAATCTAGTACGCTGTGAGCTTTCAAATAAATATTGAATCATTTTTACTTGTCTCATTTGGAAAACTGCTGCTTTTTGCCTCCAGTTGTTAAGGGCACAAAAGTGCCCACCTGAAGAATTCACCCAATCCGTTTCGCCCTTTCGTATGTGTCGGAAGTACCTTTATGTAGTAGTACTAGTCTGATTGGCCGGCTTTGCCGGCCTATCCTCTTTCTGCGCGGGTCTTCCCCCACACATTTCCAAAAAAATAGAGGGCCAGTCGGATCGGCTGTGCTATTAAATAAGTAGCCCACAGTGTGCGCACGCTCCGCCCTCAGTGGGCGGGACATAGCTTGATATGTGTGCTCCGTACATCTTGGCCCAGCCTTACCCATCCCACCTTTAAGCGGCCCCTCAATTAGCTTTAAAGGCACGCAACGTGAAGCAACCTTGTAATGTTACACATCAGCGAGGTCCGCAACCACGCGGAAATCCCACTCCTGCGGCTCGAATCGACTGATTGAGCGAAGGTCAATCAGTGATAAGCTGACCCCGCTCCTGTTAATCCCGCCTTGACTGGTTAACAGTTATCAGTCATCGCTGGCATTGATAACCGCTAAATTTCTGGCCTTCGTTTCGTACACTGATAGAGAGATTAACTCATAGACAGATCGATTATCAATGCCAGCGAGGATTAATCAAATTAGATAGGAATAACCTAGATAGTGGGGTGTGGGTCAAGGACTCACGGCCGCGCACCGAAACCAGGTTCGCCCGCTGGGGAAGTGGGTCACGGCGCGCGATTACATGCTTTAATGCATGTTTGAACATGTCTACCTGTTTGGACATGTTCTTGGCAGATGGAAGATGAGGAAAAGAAAGAACGCTCAAGCAAATGGCGATAGGGTCATATTGATCGGAAGTTGGCAAAATGCCAGGTCAGGACTCACCGCCGCGCCACGCGAACAGGTCGCCGCGCGCGGTGACCTAGTTTCGAGCGCGGCGGTGACTCCTGGCCGTCTCCCTAGGTAGTGGCCTCATGAGAATTAGCCGCAACGAGGCGGCGACGTGTTTTGGAGAACTCACCCAAAATCTGCGAAACTCGTCCAGATGCGTCCGATCGAACAGGGTCTTATTCTATGTTCTTGCGGCGCTTTTTGTTTACTTTTTTGATTAATGCTTTACTTGCCACATGTTCTAACAATTCTGAGCCCTACAACCTGCCAAAGTCGATCGCGGGCGCTGTCTTTAAGGTGATGCGGAGTTTTCGGACAGACACACCGTACCGAAGGAAAGGGTAAGAGAGGAGGGAAAAGACGTATGAGCCTGTTTCGAATGTTATACAGAATTCGACTAATTCCTCCAATCACGCCAATTTTCTGCTCGCGCCTGCGCTCACTCTCTCATATAAATAACGTTCTATGTCCACTTTGTCATGAAAAAAATTCCAGCTCTTCATGTATGATATGAAGCCTACCCGACGAGGAGTCCGCTGCCCTTGAACATACCCTTTCGCCAGGGCACCGACAAGAGGGACAACAGATGTAAACGATGCTGAGGGGGGAATGGTTCTGAAGGTCGCTGAGATACTCCTTAGGGTGCTTTCCGACCCTGAATAAGACCCCTTCCCACTCGGTACCTGATAAGGATGGAATAAAATTTGGAAGGGGTCTGAACACCGCCGAGATCCCTTTCGCCCTGGCTCTCGCAATCGATGAGATCGCGTATCGCAAGGGCTCTGAACCCCGCTGAAATCCATCTCGAGCGGGCTCCGAGGCAGAATGGAATCCCTTTGCAAGGGCACCGACATGTGGGAACACGGATGGAAACGATGGTGGGGAACGGTCTATGAAGATCGCTGTGATGCTC